CCTACTATAAAACAAGGAAATAGGCGGAAAGAGACGCGAAGTAACGACCTACAATAGACGTAATGACCTACCAGTAAAGATCTACATTAAAATGAAGTGTGCTAGGTGCATATCTACAAATGAGAAGTCGCAAAATCTATTTGTATTCAGAGTGAGTACAGTTTAATGTAAATTTGGTGTAGCAGCAACTGATGTACTGGATATATTTGAAACTACATTGCAGGGGGCTAAACTACGCCTTCTATTACCTACCTAAAAAATCAATCAAATAAAAAATAAACGTGTGAAACAAAATTCACATGTTTTAAAACTATTAAAGCAATAGCGTATTTTTGTAACTAATTTCTTTCTTATTCCTTCATTTTATACCAAACTAATTAAATAATACAACGGAAGATGAAAATTTATTGAAATAATCCTATACCCCTGATGAAATGCTGAGAAGAAGGGGTTAATATGGTATGGTGACTGGAGAATAGAAAACTAACAATGTAATGTAAGTCAATATCCACGCGATTCCTGTAAAAACCATTATGCTAAATTCTATACAATTGGAACGGTAAACAAGCCGACGACCCACCTGATGGTAAGTGGTAAACGTCGCCTACACATGAACGGTATCACGGATATCACGTTATATGATACGGATACTACCTTATGTGATATCCGTGATACCACTTATGCGTTGCTATTCCGGAGTACTAAGATGTCATGCCTCATATCCTGTGATTGTACTGCGTGGTCTCGACCTAGCAACTGACAAACAACTTACTAAGCATGCTGTTTGGCGGCTGAAATAGGTGAAACTGAGGTACCCATGCAGACGACTTCTAAAAAGTCTACGGTGACAAATCTTACATAATCCATATCTTGAGACGAATTACAGGAAACGCTGTTTCTATTTAAAAAAAATAACCCATTGAAAGGTGAATTATTTCAGAACATAATATTCACATGGGCGAAGATAGAAAGTGCCATTCGACATATATCTAATACAATGATCACATTTCATAACTGCGAATATTAATATCTAAATTAGTTATAAAACAAAATCGATATTAATATATAAATTAACATAATACTAAACAAAAACTAAAGCAATCCGTAAGCCTTATTTCATAGTGTAAGTGTATGTGACGCCTAATAACGACAATAGAAAAATGAAATATTATTAGATTACACCGAAATAAAAAACTAGACATTTATAAAGATGATATTTATGATAATTAATTATTATTTAACACTAGCAATATGTATATAATTACTTTTTAGAAAGGAATAATTAATATACCGTACTCATTTTTTTTTTCATTGAATAATTAAATGCAATAATTATAACAGTTTTTGGGTGAACAAAAACTGTTAATTTTTATCAAGAGATATATTAGAAAAATACCCGAATAACCCGAAAAGCCTACCTTTCATTCTCTTAATAATTGTTACTAGGTGTCAAATTAATTATTTAAAGGGCAATAGAGTAGAAGAGATGAAATAGAAGAATAGAAGATAGTAGTACAAGGGGTGGAATAGGGTAGAAAGTGACTAGAAGTATCTAAATAAGAATATAGAAAGGAAAAGAATATATAAGAGAAGGCGAGATGAGGCAAAATCAGGTAAGAGATATAAATAGATATTTAAAAATTCCCAAGGTATTAGCAGATTTGAATTGACTGTGACAACAATTACATATGCTTTATAGTATTCAATCGAAATTTATAATAAAAAACATAGTAGGTGATACGAAGTTCGGTGATGTTAAAACAAATTAAACAAATTCATAAAAAAATCGAACGTGACGTTATGGTTTTGTTAGAGTCGTATAATCTTTACTTGACGCCAAAGATTAAAAAAAAATACAATAAACAAAAAAATAATTAATAAAAACTAAAAAAAACATATTTAAAAAGTACACACAGATGATGTGAATAATATAATTTATTAAAATTACCTTCGTTTAATTGGTTTTTATTGCCACTGCCCTGCCCTTTTTGGAATATTAATAAATATTATTATGAAACTACTAAGTACGTTAAGTATTAAATTTTTAAAGATAGTTAATAGTATTTATAATTAATTTGGTTATGAATATAATATTCTTAAAGTTAGTCTAAACGTTAGAATGAGAATAAATTCCTGGAAGCGTTCTTACTTCAGAATTATATACATGCTTATAGACTAATATTACTCTATTTACACGATCGCCAAAACTCTTTCTTAATATTATAATAATACGTCACTTAATGACATAAGCACATATATTGCAGCAAATTTCAGGCGTTTAGTATAATGCAACATTAATATTATTAATCTACAGAAATTAATCATACTATTTATACTTACAGAGGGCCAGTCGTATTGGGATTATTAAGGCATGTTTCTCGCATAATACAAGATTCAAAACGTCTCTAAGACATGTCTTGAAACAAGTATCACAGCGGAACCATCACCCACAATGTCGCACAGAAATATTATAATACGTAAGAAACTTGGTGTGAGATAACCGTTTGAAACCGTTTAGTGCAAAGACAATAAGCGTTTACATGTATGATTAAAAAATATTAGTAATAAATGTGATGATTTGTGGAGTAACCGTTAAAATTGATAATTAAAATGATTGTGAAGTGTCTGATTTTATAAAAACTGTTGTTATAAATGTGAAAGTATGTCTGACTGTTTGTCATTGGTCACAATAAAACGGTGCAATGGAATGTTATTGAAATATGTATAAAAACTCAAACGTCGTTGCAGTTAATCTTGTAAAATTTACCCAAATCGTATGTAAAATAATCAAGTAAACAAAATCAGGGACGATAATAAATATCATGTTCCGAAGTGTCGTTTAGAAATAACTTAACTATATTAAAATTAAAAATGAGATTCTTATAATGAGAATATTCATTATGCTTTATAAAAACATATCCAATATATTGAATACACGTTTAAATAAATTCAAAAGTTTCATTAAAAACACCGTATACGATTACTTTGGTTGCAACGTGGGTTGTGTTACTTTATGTGTTTTTACTACACTAAACATGTTATATGCATCAGTAAATATTATATAAAAAATTACAACTACTTAGCTTTCCCGCAAGCCCCAAAACCGGAATGATAGTGTAGAAATTTTTTAATAAAACTGGAGGTGCATAAATGACTAAATGTTACAACCTAAGAAATATCTTTACGAAGAAATTTTATATGAAATATAAAGTGCTTATGTACATTGCATGTGGGAAGATTCATTAATATATTCCTAATCCTATTCATAAGAGTATTATCTCTCATACGTAATATTACATACTACGTTCAACCTACCTAATTATATTATACCATATTCTAAATAATATTATTATATTCAGCAAATCCATTAGTGCAGTCAGCATTATTATTAGTAATATCTTTAATATTATAATCAAACCTGGGTGAGATGGAATTCTGTGACAAGAATTTAATGTTTACCATTAAACTACAGTCAGTCAGTCAGTTTTAGTGGTTGCAGAAGTAGAGATTATAACTTAAAAATAATATAGAGTAGAGGAAATTGTGATGAATAAGTGATGTTTGGAACACTACCTTCAGAATACTGAATTACTCTATTATAAAAAACTTTGTGATGATATTTTTACCTACAATTATAAAGTTGAGAACAATTCTTTATTAACAGAGTATCTCAATGGTCACATTACATATAATACAAAGGTATTTTAAGTGGTATTTTTGATCAAATTTTATACGAGACATAACAAAATATAACCAGAGTTTAATACATGTAAGCACTATATGAACCTCCTATACTAATTTAATATTACTATTACAGTCTAATGTGATGTGCGTTGTATTTGGTCGGTGTTAACATTGTTGTTAAAGTCAATAATAAAATATAAAATAAAAATAAATATATATCCGTTCAGAGTCAAATCCAAAATAGTAACTAATCTAAATCTTGTGACCCATAAATGAAAAAAATGGTTAATTTAAATAAAATGGTCTTAGAAATGGAATTCCCTTATTAAACACAATTTAGATATATAAAATTTAAAGAAACAATGATACGCCGGAAATATAACAGACAATTGAATATCACTATTCTGGTCATTATCCTATATAGATATAGTTATTTGTTAATATCAGTTATAGAGATTTAAAAATAGTAACCAAAATCTAACTTATGCCCTCTAAGTTAGAATTTGAGAATTAAAATTATGTACTTAGAATTAACTGCAAGTTGCAATCAATACTAAGTAAGTTAAGGCTTTACTTACTACATTGCGGCTCACCTAGATCCGACTGTATCTTCACTAATCCTTATTATTTACGTACATATCAAAGTAATAATCACAACTCAAAGAGCGTGCTTCATTTTAAGAAAAAAATATATTATATATAATCAAGATTTAAGAGGCACTTTGTCAGAAACTTGTACAGTCTGTATTAGTATATTAGATTAAGTATTAATTATATATCCGAATGATAAAAACATTATAGCGGCAATGAAACTGATGTGCCAAAGACAAGAGTTTAAAAATACGAATTAATATTACATTGTAGTGCACTAAAACACATATATATTGTATATATTATGTAATATGTAAAATCAATTGGTATTTCGTTGTTAATAAAAATAGCTAAACCATTCCGAGCTTTATAATAAAAACTGGAAAATCCCAAAGTAATAAATTAATAGAAAAAATAAATAAACGTTATGTAGTATGAGATTCGCTTCATGAGATTGCTTTAAATAAATTATATTCGTAATTATGAGATGATACTCGTAAGTAAATAAGTATCCAGTAAATTACAAAACTAAACTATGATTTCTTTATGTTGTAAAATTTGTATAAGTTAACTACATATTTTATGAGTAATTATGATAGAATAAATATCTACTCATAATTATTTTAAGCGTAAAGATAAACTTGTTTATTATATTTATTAATATCATATAAAAAAAATCCATTATAACATTAACTCGCCAGTAAAGATTTTAGTGCACTACTATTAAAATGGACAACCTGTAGATAGGAACATTCTAGTATTATGATTATTTCAAATAAAAATTTAACGGATAAGAGCCTCTTAAATCTAACATTCTATAACTAAGTTATAAATGATTAAAACTACCATCTAAATACACATTTACGTACTAACAATTTGACGACATCCAGTCGGGAGTCTATGTTCGTTTCATAAGTCGCCTGATGAACTTATCCCAATGACTTTTTGGGAAACGTCACCTGGACTCACCCGTTTGCGGCTTGAGCTCAATCTGAAATTTATACAAGACACGTAGCTGTATTTTCATTTAGTGTAACAATTTTCATTGATTGGACTGCTAAAGTGGCTGAAGGCCTATCTAATGCTGAAAGGTGATCGTCTCAGACATCACAGTATCGTTTAGAAGAAATCAATAGGTCTTTTATGGCAATGAGTAAAAAAAATACCATGAGATACCTAAGGATATACTGAAATTACACTTATATAAATTCAAAACATTAAATCATATTTACTGAGCAAAGCCTATTTTACTCACTAATTACTTGAAGGTTGTGCGTGCATGACAATATTATTCATGCACGGGATTTTCATTTAATGCTTGACATAGACACCTATACAAATAAACATTATACAATGTTTATTTAATACCCTGGCTTTTTAAAAAAGAAATTCGATTGAGTTTCATGCCAGTTCTTCACAATTGAATCTGTATACTGAACTGAACGGTAGGGAAAAAATTATAGTATAAAGCATTTGACGTTCATAAGCGGCTAAAATCTCCTACATGAATAAATGTGTTTTGAATTCCGTACATTACAAGTATTTATATAAATGACTATATGTATGTTTGTATTCGCCTACATATTATACTATACCTGTATTTATAAATGGTATAAAATATTCTAATAGCAATTGTAACATGTTTCGGTTGAAGGAATAGGGTGTGACATTACAAAATATTGAAGCATTACTCCTTCTCTGATGCATACTTAACACTCACTTGTATATATAAGCGAATATTACCATTTACCATCAAGTGAGCCGTTGATTTAACATTCTAATAATATAAAATAAACAAAATAATAATATCTCAGAATAATTCACACAGCGCCATCTAGACCCAAGTTAAGCTAGCTAAAGCTTATGTTAGGGGTACTAGATTACTGATACATAATTTTTTTTTTTTCGTAAATACATAAATATAATAAATAGAAAACACCCAGACCGATACAAACAATCATACTCATGAATACAAATGTTTGTGCCGTGCGAGGAATCGAACCCGCGACCATCGGACGTAAAGTGGTGTATTAGACTACTAAACCACTAAGGTTGTCTATCGTATCCTAAACATATCAAAAATGTAATTATATTTAAAAGCAGCTATGTCGGTTATGTTTTCAAAATAAAATTAAGTAAAAATTGTTGTTTCTGAAACGATTATAATAAAACGAAGAGTACCAGATAATCTTTAGATAGATTAGGCAAATAAAATAGAATTATACAGTAACAATACAACAAACAACAACAACAAAACAATATGTAGATACATTTAAATCTGTATGTACAATACAATAACATGGCCTTATTGCTAAAATAAAGGTATAGCTTAAGTGGGCGAAAATGTTGTATATGATTAACTATCTGTTGCTAATTGGTGAAAAGATCATGTTGAAATATTCATTACCTCGCTCAGGATAACCCAGTAGAGTGAATCTTTGGTCATCCGTAGCCGTAAAGCGGTTATATAACCTATATCCTTTTTTATTTCCCCGTCACAGAGGCCAAATTCATCAAACTCCCCCACTTGAGTAAAATTTCCAGCAACTGGCAACACTTCTACTGAACAATCGTATATTTTATCGGATATATGTTCAACGTTGCCACTTCGGAATGTATAGCTAAAAAGATATAATAGTTTACAATACGTTATTGTACTGGAAAAACTTAATATAAAGGAAGACAGGGATCTCCAACGCTTAATGTGTACTACTGTAAGTTAGAAAGGTCGTGAATTTGAATCTGATTGAAACCAAAACAATTTGTCAAATAGGACAATTTATATTTCTAACCATGGAAAGTCTGATAAATTCAAATAAATTCTAGAGAAAGAATAAAAAAATATTTATGTAGTTCTTATACAAATGTGCATGGCAATACTTGTTCATGCACGGGATTTTTATTTAATGTTACATATGAATGTTGCCTATAAAGTGTACAGTGTAAATAAACTGGCTTTAAAAATGATAATTTCTAAAAAAAAAAATAATAAAACTTACCGTTCATAAGCTGCTATAATGTCCTACATGAGTAAATGATATTTGATTTCATATAAATAAAAAGTTAAATCAACTATAACAAATTTTACGTATGCTATTGCGTTCTACCTTACATACCTTTCAAGAATTATAGGTTTTTCGAACCAAAACTCCATAATGTCTCCTTTTTTAGGCTTCACTCCCCAAAAATAGGTCTGACCTTCATAAGCTCTCTTCAAGGTGTGATCAGAGTGCTCCTCTATAGATGTACGGATACTATCAAGTGGGGGGTTAGTGTGAGGGTAAAAAGTTGGCACTGCACCGAACTGAGAATCCTGTAAATGTTTCAATAAACGACGCTTAATATTACTAATATTACAAAACTCGAAAGTTTGTGACTATAGACATCGGTCCATCCATCCATCAGGATGGACAGATTTGTTACACTTTCACGCAAAAACTATGAAGATTTTGATGAAACTTTACTAGTTTATACATTTCACGCGAGTAAAACAGCAGGCAAAGCTAGTTAATAATTCGAGCTCTGAGTTCTGAATTCTACATCATATATTTCTGTGCCGTAACAGCTTCATTTGTAAGTGTGTTTTATATGGAAGAATGAGATACGGCAATGAAAGTGAACGCAGTATGAAGTCAGACAGGCATCACATGATGCAATGAACGTAATATTGTTCATATATAATTGTCACTAACTCAAGAGGTTTGCCCAATATAAAAAAATCAATATCATTATGACGGAGACAAAACAACAGACAGACAATGAACCCAAATTACGAACATTTTTTCTTTTTTTTTTTTAATAATATAACCTTAAAAATACTTATTTCTGTGTTGCCACTTGTATTAAAAAAAAACTTGATAAATATAGCCTCGCAGATGACATAATCTGTTTCAGTAAAACAATTTATATATATTTATGAAATAAATCTTACCTTAATCTTTTGTATCTTGCCTTTGAGGGAAGAATACAGTCCAATGTGTTGGAACAAGGATGTTTTATACTTTGGTCGAATTTGTAACTTATTTTGGCTACATGCTTTCTGTAATACAGATTTAAATTAAAGATTTATTCAAATAAATCTTGTTTGCAAATAAAAATAATATTAACCCAGTACAATTAAAATAGCACCATCTACTTCGAAACTAAGTTTATACTATGAGTGCCAAAATGAATAGTAAATATTTTTTTTTAATATAAAAATGTTCCCGAATACATGTTTGTATCGTACAAGGATCGAACCTGCGCCCATCGTCAAAAAGTGGGTTTGCCACTACGGTTTTATTGTCATCATTGATCTACTTATGATAAACTTTAACGGACAGCAATTGAATCTTGATAATAATAAAAAACATTTATGAAATTAATATAAGACCTACTTAGGAATAAAACATATTTCCTCCAAATAATTTACACATTGAGAGCATTGTAATCTAGTAGTTTCGTACACTGAATTCCATCCAAGATATCGTGAGTTCAAATCTAGTCTGTCTGTTTATACTTCTGACTAACTGCTAAATATATCATGTTTGTAATAATATTATAAATGAATAATAGAAAAGGGGGCAAAATCAGATGGGCTGTATGCTTGTTTGCCAATAAGTGGATAAAAAAAATAACGAAGATTATACTAAATAATATGTATTAAATATTGTTCTATTTCTAAATGACGGAGTTTCAAGGTAACAGACATTAAAAGACACCGAATTAGAAATAATTTCCTTTTTTTTAGTCGTTAAAAAAAATACGTACCGATGTCTTGTCGATGGTACACACGCGGTCGGCCAGGTAACTCTCCAGGAGCCAGTCAATCGGCATGTTGTTGTAAAACAGTTGTACGTATATAATGAAGTGAGCCAAGTCCGACGACCTGAACAGTTTCCCAATACCACCCACGTGACAGTACTCAATGAAGAACCAGTCTGGAATTTTCACGGTTGTAGCGGCCGTGAATTCCTTGATATCCTATGTTGTACAAAAAAAAATTCAATCATCAAATGAAATCTAAGTATAATTCAAGTACGTCTACATCGTGGGGGAAGGAGACAGTTACTAATGCGAATTAACCACATTGTTAGCAACGTACCATATCAGATTGACCTCCACGCAGTTCCCTGTGGAAACCATGGTGATAAATTCGTAGTGAATTTGTCACAATGGGCTAACCGACCTGACCTCATGCTCATCTTATCATCCTCCATTGATGCTCCGCCAGCGTAAACCGTTGGTTCAGTACGCATCATTCCAATATTATCAATAAAAGAACAGGCAATCTAAACTATTATAAAAAAGTGGAAAGTTTTCGATCAATCAATATCTTTACTGAATATGTGGACAACACCTGTATCTAATAACGACAATGTTTGTCTATATATTGCCTAGGAATATAAGCCTGCATATATTAAATATTTAACAATAAATCATACTAAATAATGAAGTTTCATAGATAATTTGTTACGTGCATCATAGTTTCCCACTGAAGTTAATATAAATGTCTTTGAATCGTTTTTTAAATAAATTATGATTGTACAAGTATTCTACGTAATACTTAAGTAATTTTAAAAATGCTTTCACGTCAGAAATCTGCATAATTATCGAGCATAAATAATATAAATGCGAAAATGTGTTTGTCCCTATAGAATCTTTTTAAAACTAAACAGTTCAAGAAATCATAGTGAAATTTATCATGAAGAGAGACTGTATTACGAGTACGAACTGAATGTATAAGTGGAATAGAGAATCAAGCAGACGGAATCGCAGGTTTTAACTAGTTGACTATATTAAAAAAGAGCCACATATTGATCGCATCCGTGAGAAATCATGGATAGTCATTACTATAGTATATTGTATTTAATGTGACAGATTTTAATGATTATTTCTATACAGGTTGACATGAGATAGCGTGACTTAATAAATAGTTAGAAACTCAGCTTATAAATCGTAAAAATAGCGTGATTGAATTTATCGAACACAAAAAAGTTTGTAGTAATTTAATATAAAACAAAATTCACTACAAATTCTCAGTAAAAATAGTGATAGCAAGAAATAATCCGAGATACGTTGTGAATGATCTGATGAGATTATTTTCTGTGGATGGAATGACAAAAACGCTGATGGCCCTCCTGATGGTAAGTGGTAAATTATATACACGAATAGCACTACGGATATCACGTTATCATGTGACATATGTGATACCATTCATATGACTTTGTAGCCTGTTACCATTACCATTACCATCAATCGAAACACATCTTACTACGCAAGCTGTATGGTATTTAACCTCAATAAAAGTATATTATATGTAATACACAATGGATTTGTATTGTTTTGTTTAATTTCGCTACATTAGCATGTGTGAGACTAAACATATTCCGTCAGGGACCAAATAATAAAAATGTCTAATGATCGAATATACCAAAATCTGATTTTTAAACGATAATTCGTGAAAGACTAAGTTAATTGCGTTGTGGAGTTGCGCGCTTAACAACAGTTTAGTGTTGTAGTAAGTCACTTTAATTTTATTTATATAGATTACTGATATTTTATCGCCTTTGCAACAATTTGTATTGCTGTGAGAACATTTGCTTTTTCATATTATCCTCTAACGACATTGTATTCGCTCTACAAGTTATAATTCGTATTATATAACTATAATACAATCGTATTTGAAGTAAATTAAATTTTATTTTCAGTTCTTCTTAGCTATTCGCATTCCGAATTTAGGGTAGAGTTGAATATCACGAAATGCACGAAAAAAAGATAGGTTGGTTTGATTTATTCTGAAGATACAACTTTTCATGAAAAAAACTTGCTTTCGCTTGTTTACTTTGAAATTCAGTAATACTTTCTTACTGCTTACTTGCTTAATAAAACAAAGCATTACAACGCTAGCTGAATATGAATGTTTCTATGTATATTATGTATGTATTTACAATAAAAAAAATGTTATTCAACTATTTCAGTCGCTAAGTATGTTGTGCAGGTTTAGTATAGTTTAGGACTAATGACGCTGTGAATTATACTGCGTTATTAGTATTATAAATTTTAACTTTGCATACTTAGTAGTTTTGCTTCTGCATTGATACTAGTTAGGAGAGGAGACGCAAGATTCATGTTTAAATGACGCAAGCTTATATTATGGGTAATTATGATAATAATGATGATGATGATGATGATGATGATGATGAAAAAACAGTTAAATATACAAAGTATATAAGACGCAAGCTGTTATTTCGCTTTACAAACAAAAATTTCACATATCCATACGTGATATTGATAAGAGTAAATAAATAAGTGAAAAACAGTGATGATTTCATTTTCAAAAAGCAGAAAATAAATATAAATAAATTTCGACACCAATGTTTGTCTATTATACACGTTTAAACTTTGGCTTTATACATTAAAGTCAGTGATTATAGTTTGGCAGCTGTATTAAGTTAGATGGAGGTACTCATGCATACAATCTTATTATAAGCCCGAAGTTTATGAGTATGGATGTTTGTTACTCTTTCACGCAAAAACTACTTAATGGATTTTGATGAAACTTTACAGGAATATCGATTATGCATCAGAATAACACATAGGCTATATTTTATATAGAAATTTAACGCGGGTGATTTAAGTCTACTTTATTAAGAATGAATTTAGGTAATTTTATTCTAGCGCTACATCGCTATTCGGAATATAGACCCATTCAAATAGTATCATGAATCATGAAATTAGGAATGTTAGAGCATTCTTTATTTATAATATATAATAGCAATAAATAAATAATATTTATTTGTCTATTTTATAATCATATAATATTATTATATAAATCTAATATAAACACTTTTGAATAGTAAATTTTTTTTATACTACCACTCATTCGGTATACAGCCAAATCACATGAAAAATGTGCAAGAATCTTGCGTGTTGCTCATTAAATAAATGTAGTTAATAATACCATTTTTAAGAATTTTGTAGATTGATGAAGAACTGAGAAATAGCAAAATTGGCATAAGTAATTAATAGTTACTTGACTAACAAAGTAAATCAGTATCAAAATATATACTCGTATATCAGAGAAGACCAACTAATAAAACAAGCGTACATGCTTGTTTTATTAATACCAAAAATATTTAAAATACATAAAAAATAAACTGCTATTTTATGCGATATAACGAATCCAGAGCAATTTATTATAAATGCGAAAGTTTCAGTCTGGCAGAACAGACAATGATGATATTTGATGTGAAGATTGTTATAGACAAAGACAGAAGAACTATCTACAAAGGTAACAATATAGTGATGCCGAATTCCACATATTATTTACCTGCATGTAATTTTTCTTCGCGACAACATCGTCTTCAAGCATCATATAGTAGGTTCCCTTGCTTTGTGCGTATGCCATTAAGTATATAGTGTCAAGGTTCTGTTTTGTTCGCCATCTGACTCTCTTGGGCGAGTCTCCGAGGGTATTAGGCAAAGTATCTAAATCAGGGTAGTACGTTGCCGTTGGTGAAATGACTTCTATTAAACCACCTTCCACTTGTTTTGGAAACCTGAAAGATGACACGAGAATATATTTTTAAAGTATACTGTAACTAAATAACATACTACTGGGGGCAATATGTAATATGCTCATACTTTACGAACAGGGGAAATGGCTAGAGTTGAAAATGGTTGTAAATAAATAATGGCACCAGGGCCGACCTTTAGCTAGGAATGGGCAGCATCCACCAGTACCTCAAGGTTTCAGATGTATTATCTGAGCGTCCAGGCCCTTACAGCGCTTCTTCGCGACCAAAGTTTGTCTGCTTTCTCTGAGCGGGAAGTGGACTGTATGGATGGAGGAAGAAGTGATGGAGTAGAAGGTAAGGTAAGGATGCTTTCCTTCAGCCGGAAGGAATGGGTAAGGCTAGTAAGAGGACCAGCTTCGAAACTGGTATCTCACACGCGGTAAATACGTGTAGTCCAGTGTTTCCAAAAGTCGTCTGAGGTTTCTTTTTATAGTTCAGGGGACAAATAAGCTTGCGGTACACACAAATGAGCACCCGCAACACCGTGGACTGTTGTATGATAATATAAGTTATATTACTTACATAGATTCAATTTGCCTTGCTGTATTGATGACATACTCCAAATTTGTTTCACCAATCATAACAACGATTAAAGTCGAATTTTTGTAATTATCAGTGAGGCCCTCCACTAAATGCTGTAAGAAAACATTCGTTCTATATATTACGACTCATAACTATTTATTCATATTTCATCATTCAAGGGGATTGTGAGTAATGTGGACTGATGACTTCATTGCTAGCAATATACCATGTCAGGTTGACCACGCGGTACCATGTTACCATGTAAAGTTGACTCCTAGAAACCTTGACCTTACCTCATGCTCATCTTATCATCCTCCACTGATGCCCCGCCAGCGTAAAGCGCAAGCGGGCGCATTCCATTATCATTAATTAAAAAAAATACCATAAAAGACACTGCTAGTAAAAAGTATTCAGAAGTTCCGTACATGTGTGTCTCTAACTCAGGTATACTCTTTATTAACGTTTCACGACTAAACTCCTAAACTCTGAATGTTTATCTGACATTTGATATTTAATTGAAACTAAAAATTTGATATAAAAAAAAACAAAATTGCTTTAAACAAACAATAATTTTGTATTGGGTACTTTATTTTGTATTTATGCGACCATTATATGCTATATTTCATCATAAAGAAGCACACAAGACGCGGGTAAAGCTAGTATTATTAGAGATATGTTTTTTTGTTAACTTTTTATTACTACAAGAGATGAATGAAATTCAGCATCCATGTCAGCTATATTAACTTGATTACGAAGAATATAGCATATTTTATTAGTGTATAGTGTATAGTGTATAGTGGGATGAAAATATGTATAAGCAGTAGACAAAGTCTCGTGTAACAACTAGTTTCACATAAAAAAAATAAACAGAAAATAATCCAATTACGTGTTTACGTTTATTTGCGTTCATACCGTCTAATATGATAAATTCTAAGAAATCTCTTGAGTGATTGTGAATGTCTTCAAGTAAATAATATTTTATTATATCGAAATGAAATCTTTCAATCTTTTTTATAAAAAACATCAGACATCTAATAAACCTGCTTTAGATATTTATTAGATTTATATTCTTATCTTTAAAACAAATGAAGGTACATTTGCAAGAAAGTAAGAAATCAGAGCGAATATTAAAATGGATTTAATTTTTATTAAGAAGAAGACAGTTATTTCTTCAACGAAACTTTATATTCATATTGGTTTCTATTCTATTCAAAAACTATCTTCACTAATAGACACTTTTAAGTCACTAAAAAGAAAAGATTAACGAAAGAAACTTACTGTGAGTGTTGCTAAGAGGTAGCTTTCCTTATCCCTCTTTACAGTGGGTATACCCAGCACTATGTCTGCGAACAAATTGCCAACTCGCATATGGTAGGCTGGCCTCAAACTGAATGGATCGTTCATGAGATGAGGAAGAAGTTGGTACACGAACGGGACCCGTAGTGGTTGAAGGTTCTTTGGTAAAACACCTGCAGCAGCCCGTGACCCTGTAAACGTAATAATATAACTGTCAAAATCAAAATTATTTATACGATGCAACATGGTGAAATGGGGTTACACTTCAAGGGCAGTTTACGGTGTCATCCAATACCTCTACTAATATTGGCCCACCAACTCTTCTGTCCTATGTGCCCATCATCCTGCACAAAGGAAGAAAACCTGAAAATCGTCGCTTTCTGGGAAAATATGAAGTATATTTTCCCAGAAAACGAAGTTTTTAGTTGACATTGAATAAAAAGAGAAGTAACTCAGGTCACACCCTTGTAAATCATTGAATCATGATGGTAAACAAAACAATCCACATATCCGTCATCATCATTAATCGTCCAGGAAACAAACGATATGTCCGTCACCCCTGGATATTCATACTGTACAATAATTACTGGCACTGTAAGTACTTACTGTCCTATTACAGGGCAGCTTCATTAATTAATATTGCAGTACCTTGTCATGCGGAGTAATCACAAGTCACGCACAACTGCCACTGCAAAAATCGATGGCAATATTCGCGGACCGCAATTATTCCTGCCATACGACATGTTAATACTACGTGCTGTGATGGAACAACAATACGCATTGGACGCTTAATAATAAATTGCATTATGGCGTAATAAATTAAAACTCGACTTTAAAGTTACAATCTTAAAGTCGATATTCTAACATTGTTTATTTTTAGTAAACGCACTCCATTGTTAACATTGTTATATGAATTGCACGTGTTATGCTTATGACAGCGTATGAGTACATATCGGAAGCTTAATAATATACTGCATGCGCTAATAAACATGAAAAGGAAACACAACTTTAAACAATAAAGCTTAAAGTCTAATTTTCGACATAATATTGTTTTGAAAATGCAGTTTATTATTAAGCGTGAGGTATGTTTTCATTCACAGAAGTTTTTAAACTTTTAAAGAGAAACGTAGAGAACTCCCAAATAAAATATTTGAGGTGAAGTATTTCTGAACCCGGGACCACCAGTGGTTGTACCAGGGGTTCGGCTCTCGGATTTCATTTCAGTACAATACAAACATTTGTATTTACAAAAATAACTTAAGATTTAGTGATTTTAATACACACTTATTTAAAAACCGAAGTATTTCTGTCATACATTTGTTAGTCACGGTAGAAGCATTATTGATTTGAGACTACATAGTGCAGTGTGATATTGTTCACATAAAAAAACATATACCAAGTCAATAGGCCAGTATGGTAATGTCAGGCTAATATTCTGCTAAAGTTAAAGCTATGAATCGCATCCTATTAATATTGCAAACGCAAAACATAAGGGTTCCTTGATCTGGACTAGTTAGTGTTTTACGGAAAAAAATCCGAACAGCTTCGAAATCTTAGTACATCGCCAGGCGAAATACTAGATTACCAGTAACAGCAATTAACAAGACAACACTACAGAACTTAGAAATATTTTATTTTGGAAAAGGATATTAAAATTTATACGTATAAATAAAATTGGAGTGTCTGTTTGCGATATTGAAATAACCGTTTTTTACTACATGCATATATGAAACTAAATACGGTTCATATACTATAATAACGTTTTTTACCAAGTTTGTTTGTCTGTTTGTTCTGGCTGATCTCTAAAATTGCTGGGTCGATTTTGACGGGACTTGGCAGGTAGCTGACGTAATAAGGAGTAACTTAGGCTACTTTTATTTTAGAAAAATAAAGTTAAATTCTACGCGGACGAAGTCGCGGGTACAGCTAGTATATACATATTAATATATATCTATATTATAACAGCAATATAAGATCACGTGATAGACCCCTCATGCGTTACCATTCTGGTGGTCAATTCACTCATACATCAAAGTCCAATAAGACATTATAGAGAACAATCTGTTTTTCTTTCCTTGATTTATTTGATAAACAATTTTGGCATAATTGTTTACAGAAATAGAGATGCATAAACAAAGTGTACTCGCAAATTTTTAGGATTAATGACGTAACTATACTATATAAACCCTATGGCACAGTTGGTAGATGTCATACGGCATAGTTGGTAGGTGTAGAGACTTCTTAATTTTTTTAATGTAATACGAATGAAACTCTTCTGTTTTGGATTATATGGGCGGTATCAGGGGTCTTTCATGATGGCATCACACCACCATTTGCTATTCCGAAGTTGTTTGATTAAAAAGTAAAAAATCAGTTTCACTCTTCATATGAAACTTCAAAATCAACTCGACAAATGAAACAGGTAATACAAAAGTGCACCCAAATACTATTTAGTACAAAGACTAATCTAGACTATCCAGAATAACTAGACATTCAATCATCGATTTTATTCACTTATGTAAATAATATTAGATCCTTCCTGTGTTTACGGTCAGTCAAACTAGGGCTCCCCTCGTGTATGCCCACGGCATTCTACCCCTCTGCCACCCTAGTGTTACACCTCTGGTTAGGACATAATTAAAAATTTTGTTGCACAAAAAATAGACGCCTGCAGTGACTAGGAAAATATGAAACCCTCACTGGAGCGAATTATTTCGATTAAAAATAAACATCGTACTCGCTTTCAAATTAAAATTGGAGAAATACCGCGCATAATACCCAAGAGAGATAAATAAAAATCACGTTAGTAGTGTACTATAGTCACCCAGTTCCCCTTTATGTTAACAGAAATTCACATTAAAATCAAACATTATATTTCCATCCATTTATCACTTATCAATCTTGATATGAACATATAGACTTGAATCAACAAATTTTAGAATTATAAATAGGTACATATTTAAATTTTAAACATTAAAATCGTTACGGAAAATAGTGTATTTGGAAGCATGAGGTAAGAAAGGCCAGTCAAGTACCTTTAAATTCCTGTTAGGATCTCATGGGCTCCTCCTTATCAGCATTCAGGTAAAGTTCTCACTTTCTATCATTTAATTTACACTCACTTTACAATACAATTATTTTTTATTGCAACAAGATTACATGCGCGCGAGTGTCGAGGCGGTCTGTACAGTCATAGGTAATAGGAAAAAGGGGAAGGGGGGAGGGGCGGGGCAGAAAATAACGGGCTCCAATAGGTTAATCCTAATTCAATAAACGTAAGGTTTATTTTAAACAAAATCAATTGCTATTATTGGCTAGCAACAATTAGCCTTAAAATCATATGTACAATTTCAAACCAACATAATCCTCTTAACATGTGAAATCATTTATAAGCCCAGTATTTCCTCAAATAAATCATCAAATAAATTGCCATCATTAGCTGGCAATACTGAACGGAATTATCAGACATAATCCTGGCAGTAGTATACAAATTGGAAGCAACATTTCTCATTTTTAAATTTTGTTATTCAACTCAATAGCTACGAGTGGCAACACTTGAGGGTTTAACAAACAATGGCCCCATATTAATCCTAGCAATTATAGACAGATTTGAAGCATTGAACATTTCCCATTTTTAAATTCATTCAAGTTGATTGGTGAGATACATAGCAATAAATCGAGACAGGTTTCTCTATTAAAGTTACAGCTAATCGAATAACAGTATACTAACTAATATATATTTATAAATAAAAATTATGAATTATTTATTTTTCGTATTCTCCATTTGATGGTGATTAAATACAATTATCTTTAGTATTATATATATTTTTTACAAAGAGAGTAAAAACAGAAAAAGATAAAGAAGGCCTTCACTCAATAAGGTCTATCCACATATATAATACAAGTATATTATTAAGAAAATATATTAGAAAACAAAAAATATAGTAATTAGTACTATATTTAATCTTATTTGTATTGATGAATATGGAAATTAAAAACTACTATTATTGTTAAAAAAATAGGATAGAGATAATTCTTATTGAGTAGCCCCATTACTGGTCATGTGTCTTATAAAGTCAAGCTCCACACGGTTTCTAGTGGAAATCACGATGACTTTCTAGTTGAATTATCACGATGGTCGAAGTGACCTAATTCGTCCTCCACTAATTCACTGTCAGCATATATTAGTCAGGGATGCACTATTCCGTATTCATTGATTATGCATGGCTCTAAATGATTACATATTAGGCTAGATATTTTATTTAGGATTACTTTAGGATTACTAACTACTAAAGAGCTTATTAAATTTAATATTAAACAGCTTTAGATTACCATGCACATGATAACATAATTTAAATCTCCGATGATAGCTAAATTTAATTATACTAAAATATTTAAAAACGTTTTCTTCGATGTCGATCTATTAATAAAGTTTGTGACGTGTTTTATTACCAGTAACAGAAATGAGTAAAATTAGTATTTGACGGAATAATTAAATTATTATTCTTTGTATCCTATAATTTTATTCTTTCTTTATTCTGTATTGTACTCACACATAGGAAATAAATACAGTAATACAATAAATGTATTGTACCAGGGTGAGCTTATCTCTGAAAAGAGATTTCTTCCAGCAAACCTAGAAAATGTTATAGGATAGTGTATTAATAATAGTCATACATACGTGTACGAAAGGAGGAGATATTAAAATGAATGTTTTACTTCCTCATCCTTACAGAGTAGTTTTTACAGTAAAAACTACTTAAAACCATATAAAATTTCGCATGAAATATGCAGGACCTTCTGTTGTTTTATAATAGTGTATGCAAACATATGCGTGTAGTCTCAGCATATGGTAACTGCGGTAAAGAACGTACTGTTTATTGTTACTTGTTAATGAAATTCAGCGCTATTGGATTTCGATATGTTCCGTCATATTGTTAAGCACAAAATCATTTATTGCACGGTTTGAGATACTCTTGTAACTATAAAAATATTTTACTTATAAATAAATTCTCGTGTCACAATGTTAATCACCGTTCTCCTTCGAAACGGCTTGATCGACTTTTATGAATTTTTATATGCATATTCAGGTCCGAGAATCGACTACTATCTATTTCTCATAGCCGTAAGTGTTAAGGGTTGCCCATCCCTAAAAATTTTTTTATTTTTTGGAGAAAATTTGTATTTATTATAATGTGTACCTATATTAAAAAAAACACACAACCCTATACTTTTACCCTTCTATCCCCACCTCCTATTTTATACCTATTTTAATTTATGTGCCAAAACGACGTTTGCGGGGTCAGCCAGATATATATTATATATCTTTTATAAATATATTATTACAGAATATTACAGATTAACTATGATTGTTTATATAAATTAGAACTTAAACATGTAATTGTATTGCCTGATATAAAGACAAAATGTTCTTTATGCATTTATATGATTAACTAACTTAACTTTTTTAAAAGTTTTAAAAGGTCAATTTACAGGATAATGATAATCACACGACAACAATAAATAACCAGTAACAAAACATCGGTAAAAGGCGCCATTTCTTATTTCAATAAAAGTTAAAGAAAAATCTTCACACATTATAATTATTTCACTTTAAATAGTATTAGCAATCTTTACAGCTTGGGCCATTTTGATATATTTTTTGTAATAACTTTAGCCACTCCAGATTTTGAAACCGTTATCTCGATTTTACGCAATTATTACATGTGAGGATCCTTCAGCATTGTCTTAATCTGCTTACCTGTCATGTTTTTCAGCAGCGCCACCACTTCAGGCGACAGTGCGGACATGTGGGCACCATCTGCAGACGTAATCCCTCGGAAATCCTCCCGGACCACTAACTTGCCCTGAAAAACCGAATAATATCAGTACTGTTCATAGCAAAGCGTCGTCTACAATATCTTAATATATTTAAAAACTAGCGTTTACCCCCGGCTTCGCTCGCATTGAATTAAAAATATATTTTTTAAAATAAGGAGTATCCTATGGTTATTCTAAAATTTTAGAATATCCATAGGATACTTTTTATTTAAAAAATTTGGGTAAAAGCGTAACAAACATCCCTATTTACATTCATAATATTATTAAGAATTAGGTTAATTATTAATTAATTAATATTATTAACTGGTAAAATATGTATTTAATTCACTACCAACATTTATTCTATATATAACATACGCCTATCATAGGCGCCTATCTTTTTTTACCAATCGGAAACATTGTACAAAGACTCCAGCTATTGAGTGCAATGTGAATGCAAAGTGAATAAGAATATGGTAAAGAAATTAACAACAACAGATACTGATACTGAGTTAAAACTTATTCTTTAGCAATGGCAGTTTTATTCTATAGACTTAAAAAATCCCCCTTTTTTACCAATATTGTTTGCCAAAAATAAATCTTAACGATAACTATTGATTGTTTATTTTAAAAAATCGACTGCAACATTGTTTTCTTGTTAAAAGTCACGCACGTAACATGACTGCAAATCTTACAATGCCAATATCCGAGTACAAAGGCAAGCTTAACTCTAAAAATAGATCACGAACGATTCTCTCTTAACACTTGTATTATGACTGCGAAAGTGAGTTTGTTCGTTTGTTTATTACTCTTAAACGCCGTAACAACTTAACTGATCATAAAAGTTGAAGTAATAGTAATAACTGAAGAGAAATATTATCAAAAATCAATTTCAAAAATTAATTTATGATATGTTAAATATACAGTCTTGGAGTGTTTTCGAGCTAAGAAAAACTGGCAAGTAACTCATGGTTTTCAAATGAGCTTGTACATGATAACAATAATACAGATTCATTTTTAAATGCAATTGTGGAGAATGTAGTGACCACCAGCATACTATGACATTTTTGCCAAATATTTAATAGAATTAGGTGTTATTTTGCGGAAGTCCATTTAGAGTACAAATACTACTATTTATAGTCTCACATGCTAATTGTAGCGGAATTAAACAATATAATATAAATCCATCGGGTAGTATTTTTGTCAACAACAAAAATGTAATCTGTGGCCGTTATAATTGGAGGAAATAATCTAGTTCAAAACTAAACAGAGCGTAATTATGACTTAACAACTAATAGAAATACATACATAGAAAACACCCAATATATATATTCATGAATACAAACATTTGTATAGCATTACAAATAGAACCTGCGGTAATCGAAACTAAAGCGATGTGCCGAACCGCTAACCGAAACCGAACCGAACCAGCCGTGGTATTGGAGAATTGCCATGAAGGTATAATATGCAATTAATAAAATAATATTTAAGGATGGTTGGTCGAAGTCCCAGGCATGAGCTAGTAAACTGTAAGTAACGTAAACAACATGAGTAGACCTTTGTCACAGCTGAATTCAGTCACGTATAAAGTAAACGTTTAGATATGATAAACATCTTTATTGAGAGAACATCGAATTATAAGCGTACACAACCGCCAGCTAGCAACGGAAACGTCTGCTTTGTCCATCGATTTTATAAATAATCGCTTTACTTCAATATTGAGGTAAAAACCATATTATTAAAAAGGAAAATGAAATTATAATACGCTCATTGTTGTAATTTGTTCCATTTGTTTTACGGGCTCGGTGATCTAACTCACTTCCGACGGTTCGAATTCGATTCCTCGGACAATGATTATTTGTATTTATGAATATCATTGTGTGTATTGATCTTAATAATTCTAGTATCCATAAAAACAAATTATATATAACTTAGGAGTAGATGGCGGTTGTAATTTGTCCTGGGTTATTATCAATGAAGTCGTTAATACGGATACGACAATCTCACCTATTTCTGTTGCTATGCAACTTTGTAACCTGTTCTTTGGACATCAACATTTTTTGGGTTTTCAAGAAGGCTATATTAAGATTTCTTAAGGGTCGGCTACGCGCACGTGATACCCCTGGTGCTTCAGGCGTCCCCATGCTACGGTAACCATTCGGATGGGCCGTATGCATGTTTGCCACCATAGTATAAAAAATACTTAGTCCTCCCTTGGCAATATAAGACGATTACCGCAGGCGTAACATAATTACATGATGTCCGTAGTACTATTGAAGTACATAGATGAAGGTTGCCATTTACCATCCGGTGTGCCATTAGTTTATTTCCCATTGCAGATACTCAAGAAACGTTAATTTATATATTTAAAATAAATACAATAATTTACTATGATGTGATAAAGTGTTTGATTGACCACCATCAACAATTGGCAGTTCCTCTGATTACCCACTTGGTATAACAGTTGCAACGATGTAACCTATATTCAGGGCGGGGAACAAAGTACCTGCAACGCAATGACGTCTTCCTGCCGCGAGCGATACTGTGACTCCAGGAAGTCTAGACTCGCCTGCATTTCCGTTATGTGCTGTTCCATTTCATTCTCACGCGGCAGTTGGACTGCAAAGAGGGATTTTAGTTAGCAACACTGAAACAGGATAACAATCGGGGTCAATCTGATATCTCGAGTGCAATTGTGCGCATACGCGTCGGCCTGTACAATCATACAATAATGGGGGAGAGAATTGTTAGAATTAGTAATAAAGAGTGCCTCGATGCTGTTAATGTACCATATCAGGTTGACCCCCAGGATACCGTGGACAATTCCAGGTGACTGGTCCGTAATTAGCTAGTTAGCTAATTATGGACCAATCACCTGTCGTTCTCTACAGATATTAAACGACGCAACATTATCATGCATGAAAGAAGATCTCTCCCCATAGATATAACATTATAGCCCTCCATGCATTATATATAGGTGACAAATGTCACTTACCATCAGGAGAGCCGTCAGCTATAAAAGAAAAGGACTATGTTAGCCTCCTATAATCAATACTACTATAAATATCGGATAGTTCGAAGAGTTTTGTTATGTGAGATGTAATTAATACTTTCAGACTAATAAAGTGTCTGTCTCGTCAAACTGTTGATTCGTTAATTGACATTGTAGACAAAACATGTCATTTACTAATGTGTTATTAGTTCGTAACAAACGATTTACTTAAATACACAAGCTTGCGTCACTAGGTACAAAAATATATTTTGTATGAAACCAATGTTTTAAGGCGTCATATTTGGTAACTTTAATTCAGTTTGTGCCAGTTTTAATTTATTCATTTTGCTGGTTTCGTGGCATGTGCAAGGCATAAAAAATTAAAACAAGTTTTGTGTGAAGCTGTGTAATGAAAAATGAAAAATGATTTGGTCGACTGTCGTAAGGAGAGTGCCGACTCTTATAAAACATAGTGTTAATTGCTCTGTACTTAAATCCAATTTCATTATATAAGCAATACCTAATCAGGATATAGGATATTCTACAAATACCAGAAACATTTTACTTCGAAATTATTGTATTTTTACAAATAATGAGAAAACAAAGCTATTCAGAGTGATTTTCATTAGTCCATTTTGTGACCTTACAAGCACCGGTTGCCATGGAGGAAAATTCCTTTAAATCGGATTAATTCTACATGTTTTCATCTTATTTGTAATATATATACAAAAAAAATATACGTTTACAATATATGCACACATTTACAAAAGGTTTATAAAGCCTTCAGAAAAATCTGTTTATAAATCTATAAGTAGATTCTTTTGTACTTTACGGTTATGTCGAAACTAATAGTTAATACTTTGTAATACAACTTTTTCTATGTAGAGGATATAAGCTACTTAAGCTGCCTTCTATCCCGCTTTTATAGATATTCAAGAGATAATGAGGTGAATCCCCAGATTATGAGAGAAACACTCAAAGCTTTTTAAGTGTAACTGGTAAAAAAAAAGAGGAATACATAGATAATAATAAGACATATGCCAAAGGAAAGAAACCATAAAGAATGAGGCAGAAAAAAATAAAAAAAGGAACTAAAATGTCAAATAAGGCTACGGTCCAACTTAGTAGTAACCGCTGTCAATATCATGACCTTTCGACCACATCATCACGTGACATCCGTGGAACTCGTAATGCCATTTCTGAGGACTAGGATATTTTCGTACCCTACAATTTCTGTGTCATATCATACCCTGATATTTAGCGACAATAGTAGTATAAAGTCAAATAAAACAATTTCAAATTAATAGCGACCGTATTATAAAGTAATAGTATATATATATATATACTTCCGTCACTTGAATAGTCCCACTATAAGAATTCCGTGCCCACGCAGAGATTTTGTACTTAAAATCATTTATTCACATAGGCCTTTTTTCTACCTACACGTCATGTTTTTTATCACTATCACCCTACCGTTCAGTCCGGCTAGCTACTTCAGTTGTGAACTGTCAAGAAACTTAACCAAACTATTTTATTTTCATGTTATTAATATTCCACTTGTTGGTCACGTTTTGTGTTTTCTAAAATCTAATTAGCCACATTAGTAAGAATATTAACACATTAGCTCCACATATTCCGTTAGTTTATACGAAACAGATGCACAATCTAAATGCTGAGTGACATAGGATAGGGGACTAGACTCTACTCTAGAGTAGAGTCTAATTCCATGTCTACTTATCTATATCAGATTGACGTCCTGTTAGGCAGCGGAGTCAGGATTGAAGAAAAAGTGCAACGTGAAACTAGTTATGAAAACGTATAAAACTATGCTCTCTGCCTACCCCGTAAGGGATCAAATGTTTTATGATATCATGCTTAATAACCAACTGATTTAAGTCTATCTACGAAACTTTTTGGAATTTCGTTATAAATGTTATACCAAACTTTATATATAAATACTTAAATAGGTATTTATATATTCAAAATATCTTTGCTTCAATTCATACATGTCAATAATGTGCCTACATTTTCTACATATTCATGAATTTGAAATCGTGTAAACATTGTAAACACATCGCTTCATGTCCTATCAGCTGAAACGACTATTATTGTGTAGGTGCTATGATTTAGAAATTTTAATACAAACACCTATATGTTTTACGCTAGAGAAATTTAAGTGATAAAAATAATTATGGTAGAGATTACAGTAATAGTCATATAACTACAACCTATTTCTTATACACAACAATTACAATTGTTCAGTTTCAAAATTTACTATAGATACATTTTATTTTTATCAATAAACTAATTTCATTTGTATTCATTCTCAATCAAACGCAAGTGCAATTTCTTATATCCATCTAAAGGTGTCTTGGAATTTACTCGATTTTTATATGAAAACACAATACATATGACCAGGATCATATAAATTGATACATATAAACTTACTGAAAGAAACCTTCGTAATTATAGCGAAAACTATATCAAAATCTGCAACTTTGACTTATACTATTTAGTGTTTGGAACTGTCACATATGCTGGATAGGGTTGCCAACAATCCCTAACCTTGTGAGAATAAATTATAAATCTAATTAAAACTCGTATACTATATTTTTTACCGATATCAGGCAGGTGAAAACTGGTACAAACTTGTACGAGGAGAAAATTTCCTCGAGCTGAAGTACAAACATTTCGTATTTATACGAAGATCCTAGTACAGTTAATATTGGTGGTGGGTCGGTACAGTCAATAACCAAGGTAATGAAAATATATAATATAAAACTGTATAAATAAAATATATTATTATATAAAAAATTTAGATATAATATCGCAACTGTATTTTCTCTAGAGTAATCTTAGTTTTCATTTCAAATCAAAACGCAAGTCAATAAAATGTCAATGCAATAAATTTCCTGAAGTTCCCACGGGAAGGCGGCAACAAACAAAACAACAAGAACTAATTTATATCCCCTTTTTTCAAGTGGTCTCTTTACTTAAACGCAAACATTGTCACAGTATAACTACTAGTTCTGAACGCGGAATGATTACGGCGTTGTATAATGTGATCCGGTGCACTGGCGCGGAAACCAGGTTTTACGTGGGAACTCAAGTCAATAAAACGGGGGAAAGTTGTAGGTTTCCACTTAAAGAGATTAACTTAGGTTATCTGTAACAATGGTATCAAGTTATAAACTTAATCCTCATTATATATGCATCCAAGCGACCGATCTTATTTAAACTAATACTTTATTAATTTTTCAAGATAATTATCTTATAAACATCCATTACTAAATTCTGAAAATGTCTGACTTAATCAATTTTCAGAAACCAATTAAATAATTCACAGTATTTAGAAATCACTAACTTCGGACTGTGGCTTCGTTTGTGTGACCGTAATAAACTAAGATAAAAAGTGTTACGGTAATATGAACAAATATACACATTAAAAAAAACACCCAGACCAATATAAACATACTCATGGAGATCAAAGCAAAAATATTGAGCGACGATCGAACCCACGACCGTCACTAAGTAAAGTAGTGAGTTAAAACACCTGCAAGGTCGATTGCTTGTAGACATATACAATCATATTTAGTCAATGAGGACATTTTCTAACGGACAAGTATGTATGTATGTATGTAACCAAGCGGCGCGTACGCACGTGCCTGACTTACTTTGTCTCCAATTAAGTAGCAACCTAACATATACTACAAATGCCAAGGTTTATTTGTGACATTGTCACATGTTAACGCTTTAACCAAGCATCATGAAGGATATACGTAATATTTGAGATGGAAAAATATAAATATTCTTTATTCGAATAAACTTAAATTTCTATTTATTCGAATTAGAATAATTGAATCACTCATATGTTAAAAACATTTTTCTATTCTATTAGGCATTTATAATACAAATACAGATTCAGTCAAGAATGAGTAAAGACTTAGTAAAGTCTGTTGCTTTTAAAATAAATGTTAATATTAGTGTAAATACAAAATAAAAGCATGAATGAACATAAACTTGCGTTAAATTTCAATATAAAATATAGCCTATGTGTTATTCTGATGCATAAGCTATATTACTGTAAAGTTTAATAAACATCCGTTCAATAGCTTTTGCGTGAAAGAGTAAGAAACGTCCATAATTACAAACTTTTGCATTTATAGTACTAGTAATATTAAGATATAGTTAGTTGAATGACAAAATAAAGCAAGCCGGGTGTTCGAAACAGATCAATCACTCAAAATCGATCACGGTTACACAGATGAAGTCTAGAGCAGAGGGCAAGTTCATAAATACCAAAAATTATTTAATTGTTTTTGAAAATTAATAAATGCAAACTTCGCGGACTTCGATAATGGATGCTTTTAAGATAATTATTTCAGTTCTATTAGTTTAAATAACATCGGTCGCTCTGATGCATATATAATGAGAATAAAGTTTATTTCTACAGTACCATTGTTACAGTTAAAGTAATTTAATCTCTTTAAGTGGAAACCTACAACTTTCCAGTCCTCCACTTAGCAAGTTACCGTCTGACAAGAGGGCGACTACACTCAATGTGGAAGATTTTTTTTATATTTATTAAAGCTTTTACCAACAACACAATCTACCCATCAGTCGAGTT